CAGTAGCTTCTCAAGGGTTGGTGGTTCTTTCCGCGGATTTCCCGGTTTCTTCCTCAACCATTAATACTGGTTGCCATGTATAGCCTATTGTGTCCTGAAAAATGGCGTTAAGCCCCAGAACAACAACAACAACAACAATCAGAAAGTATCGGAACAGCTCCATGCTCATATTCATACCTTCAAGAAGGAACTCCCAAGTGATCCCATGAAGCGGGATGATTCTCACACTGGAAACTCCAGTATTTTGGCTTGTTGAGAATAGATAGTACAAAAACTACAAGAGCTTCTACTCCATAGTGTTTGTGGTTACAGTGGCAGTTGAGACTTATAATAGAGATGTGAATAGTTACTGATCAGTCATGACCTGTCTGATATGTATTTCAAGGCCATCCATGTTTAAACCCTCTTGTCAAATTTCATCACAAAACTCTGAACTGCAAAGATACATGACAAAGCTTTGACCACCCTCTAAAAATTTTCAGAAAAACTATATATACACTATGTTATGAATTATTAAATACTTTAAAATTTTTTGATCAATCTGGGTTCAGCCCTCTGGAAATCTTTACTAAGGCAATAGAGTTTTGTTAGGCAAAAGGTTTAAAATCCAAGGAATAAAGATGTTGACATTTCATCTTGTGAATTTTTTTCTCAATATTCTTTTCCTCCCAAACTGCTCCGATGGTCTAGTGGTTAGAGCGTCTGTCTCGGATGCAGGAAGTCATGAGTCTGCTCCCCGATTGATTGTACTAACAGCTGCCTCTCTTGACACTCGGCATTAAGAGGTTAGTGTTAGGACTGGTCGGCCTGGTCTCAGGATAATGTGACTGGGTGGGACATGATATTACATATTTGCAACATTAAGCCCTAGTGCTAGACATCACTATAAACTGCCACACTGCAGGCATTGTAGCGATATGACTGAGAAATTGTTAAAAATCATACACATCACATTACTTTTCCTCCAATTGTATTGAAAAAATGCTCCTTCATGGAATAAACTGGAAAACCTTGCCGACTGGTCAGGACTCCATGCCTGACTAAATGGGTTAGTCTTAGGGAACAATGGGAGGAAGGGACAGAGCTAGTCAGCTCTAGGGAGTCACTCCATCTCAGTCATCCAGTCAACAGTCTTTCTCTGACATCCATGTCGGTGCTAGTATGGGCCACTTTTCATGGGCCAGGTCAGACCTGACAGTCAATGCATGGGTCCTTTCCACAATAGGCAGCTCGCCATTTATTTATACTGGAACAATCAGGGATCATCAGTGGCAGAAGTCTACACCCTTTTAAGGAAAGGAGGCAGTATAAAGGATATTAAAACTGTTTCCAGATCTTATTTAAAACAAAAAGCAGATATGTTCACATCATCATCAATCTTTCCCCATAAAACAAATGTATTCGTGGAAAGGCAGGAATGCCATGAGGCTGAATAACTGTGCAGTCTTCATAGACCTCCAGGATGCATATCTATCAATACAACCTCATCTTTCCATCTCGCATCAAATTTTTGCAGTTGCAGAGGTTTTTCCATTCAGCCTAGTTTGGGAGTCATAGCAGCTCACGTGAGTTCATGGAGGTTTCCTACATCCATGATTTTGAGAAGTCAATACAAGATGTTATCAGATATATCTTACTCAGACATGTCACTCCTTTGAAAGGCAGTGACTTGTCTGGGTTTAATCTCCAGTCTGGAAAAGTCAGATCTGAGCAATTACAGACTACTGGCAAACAGAGTGAAGTAGATAATGCAAATAGTCAATGTGCCAGAACAAATAAGAAACCCAATGATACAAGCAAAATAAAAAAAGAAAGAAAAAAAAAAAGAGTTAAACCCATGAAAGAGGAGCAAACTGATTGTACTAGTGGTTATAGAAATGGTGTACACATCCACACACCCAGCTCTACTGCAGGTAAACCAGTCAGATCTGGTCCAACAAAACAACAGCAAACTGTTTGTACCAGCAAAGCTTGTTGTATCATTAAAGAGACAAAAACAGATACCATGTTCTCGAGGTTGAACTGTCACTCCAATATTTAATTGGTATGGAATATGGTATGAAAAATCATTTGCAAATAAAACCACAGCTGTAACAAATACTTAAAGAAATGTCCTGAAATTGTCACAACCCTATGAGAAGTGTTAGTTATATCAGCTGAAACATTCTCACAAAATTCATGATATATCTATTTGAAAACTTCTGCCATAACAAAAAAGACAAGAAAGAAAGAATCCTATAGGTTTTAATCAAGTAGTTCTGAAGATCACTCATTTAATCGACTCTTCATCAGCCTATCGTGTGCTGAAAAACGGCGTTAAGCCCAACAACAACAACAATCAAATTATATCCACCATTAACTTTTGTATCTCTTGCCTGATACAACACTCAACTACACATTTTTCAATACAGTTTCAGAAACGGGCAACATCCCATCATAGTGAGAATCAACACTGACACCCAAACCTTCAATGGACCATAATGACCCTTTCAACTTCTGTCCCATTTTACATGGATGAAAGTAGATTAAACACCAGTAAGTACTGACCACCACAACCCCATCTTTCAAGCATGGCCATACAGACTATAAATGTCATAATAATACAGTGTATCTGACAGTACCAGCTTATTTACGCCACTGTATATCACTGACAAGCTGTATTTGCAAAACTATGGAAGAGATGTCTATCTCAATGCCAACAAACTACATTCAGACATTTCAGAGAGAAGATCAATTGACCTAGATGGACTGGAAGAAGTTTCATTAAGAAAGAGCAGTATTACAGTATATTTTATTTTTGCACTGGAGAATGCTAATGACGCCACACAGAGGTACAGCATATTGAATGACCATAATTCAGCCAAGGTCTATCAGGCTGCCTAACATAACCTTTAGTTTGTTTTAAAGAAATTACAGAGTTACGGTAGAGTGTACTTCACACACCGTATTATCAATCACCCTTTTAGCATCAAAATTAACAAGATGGTGAAAAGTTCTTACCCATCAACTGACTGCTCATTTTATATTGATGAATTTTTCATCTATTTTTCAAAATGTACCAGTATACATACTATGGAGTTTCAGTGACCAATAATGCCAAAATGGAGTTAAGAAATGGGTACATGAAAATGGAATCATATTGTCAAAATCGATCACTATTTTTATGCATTTCCACCTTTTACATAGAATTCATGATATTACCAAATTCTCTTATCTCTGGAAATCACATTTTTAGGACTTGTTTTTCCCAGTAACTTTTCTTGTGTGTATTAGACATCTTGGTCAGAAATATAAAAATGTCAATTTAATTTGAGGTGTGGAAAGCATAGATTGGGGAGCAGACCAGGCAGTTTTGTTCCGACTATGCATGAATTAAGAGAGACCTTAACTCACTAGAACTTGACGTGTGCAGATTGGCTTGTACATAATTACCTGCAGATACTTGATCTAATATATCCAATCAGGGACTTCGATTTTGTCTGGAATAATTTAGAGCTTACAGAAAGACTAAGACTGTGCTGAGGAAAATGAATGATACATTATCTGCCAAATGGAAATGGCTCTCAAGTTTTGTCGAACTGTCCTCAGGTCAATCCTGCATATTTTACCTTTAGGTCCAGATACCAAACCTTGTTCACTCAAAAAGCCATGCCACCTTTTGGCATTCAGCCTCACCTGGAAGCAGCAAACATTTTGCAATTATTTCAAAAATTCTATATCAAAATCACCACTATGACCATGGTTATCAAAATCTCACAAAATAATATTTTATCTTTGCAAATTCAAAAAGTCTTTAGAAAATTGATTGTTTCAGAGTAAACTAAGAGCCTTCTATCATAGATACATGCCTGTAAATGGATGGTTTGAAATAGAAGACAAAGTTGGAGTAACTAGAAAAACCCTTTTGGTGCCATCTTGGATAAAGCCTATATATATTTTTTTTTTGTTTTTTGTGCAGAAATTATGGCCATACTCAGATCTTTTAGCAATGTTGATACCTCCAAGAAAACATTTTTTAAATCTTTTGGATTCTGTTGCCACACTCAAAAGCTTTGCATAGCTTTAAATTTGAAAACCCATAGATCTTACTGAAAGATAATTTGCTTTGACAATTTGTACTATTGATTGCCTATTAATATTGGTATTAAATGTAACTGAAGGTAGATAAGGAATCGAATCTGCCTGACACAGGCTCAATTTACCTTTTTCCAAATGGAAAATTTCAGTGAAAACTTCACAAGCTAGCTTCAAAACATTATAACCATCATTCAAAAAGGGCATCCTTCGCATAGAACAAATCACAGAGAGCAGTGCTGATTACTAGATGTATGGAACACACATACTGGATTTGTACTTACCTTCTGAAGGGACCACATTGAATACCCTGACACTGTCTACTAATACTTAAACATGTTCTTAGAAAACAAAGTTGGAGTAACTGTACCAAAACCCTTTTGGTGCCATCTTGGATAAAGCCTATATTTTAAAAGGTGTATCAACTTCCACCCTGTGAGACAAAAGTGCTTTTGATGAACTTGTTGAAGAAACTTTATTATGATGCACATGCATGGAAAATTTGTTTAATGCCATTTATATACAAATTTTCAACTAGATTGTACAAATTTTCTTGTAACCTTTTTTATATGGATATATATGGTATGCATTATCTTCCTAGATTTGTTTGCCAATTCTTCATATATTTTTATTTGTAGAACTTTGCTTTTAATAGACAAATTAGGACTAGTATTCTGTTGCCACACTGTTAATTTCTACAATATACATTTAACTATCTCATCCAAATGTAAGCAGACTTGAAAATAAGCTTCTTAAAATGTTTATGAATGTCTTGTTTGCATGTAAGTTAATCTTACAGAGAAGAGTAATTTGTGTCTGAACTTTTGCCAACATCAAATTGTATCAATTAATACAGAAATAACATGCTTTCTGTTGATGCAGCTTTGAAAAGGTGTGGATTTGTCTTTTCCACTCTTGCAAGGAATGCTCTGGTAGCCTAGTGGTTAGTGCATCTGCCCCAGATGCAGGAGGTTATGGGTTTAAACCCCAGCCAAGTCATACTAAAGACTTTTAAAAATGGTACTAACAGCTGCCTTGCAAGGCACTAAGCATTAAGAGGTTAGTATTAGGACACATTGGCCTGTTCTCAGGATAATGTGACTGGGTGGGACATCATGTTACATGTCTGTGGTATGATATGCCAGTGCTAGACATCACTATATTTGGCCACACTGCAGACATCATAGTATTATAACTGGAAAATTGTTAATTCTATGTTAAAGATCCAAAATCACACACACACACACACTTATACAAATTGCTGATAAACTATTTCTTATCCACCATTTTACAAAAAATGATTTTTAAAAAAAATTAAACAGAATATAAATTACTATATATATGCTGTGATTTTCTTGTTAGTTTTTAGAATATTTGATGCCTATTTAATGTGCATAAATGAATTAGAGAAGTTTCTGACATGCATTGTTTGCCATCTGTATGTGTGTGTGTGTGAAAGAAAGTTGTTGTTGTTGTTGTGCTTAACGCCATTTTTCAGCACACGATAGGCTATTCATGGCGGCCAGTATTAATGGCGGAGGAAAAAACGGGGAAATCACCGGAAAGAACCACCGACCCACGAGAAGCTACTGGCAAGCTTTCTCACATATCCACATTCGCCGAATCCTAGACTCGAATGCAGACAGGTGAGATGGCAGTGATCCGTAACAGACAGCGCTTTATCGTGAAAGAAAGTAGTTTTCTGAGTTTATAATCAATGGATATTTAACTACTAATATGTTTATTGTCCACTGCAAATTTAAAATCTGCCATCACAAAATGCAAAAGCCAATATTTCGTCTATGCAATTTGTTAAGAGTAATCAACAGAACGAACAACATTAATCTTGATTTGAGGTGCATTATATCATATCAGACCAGGGCCTATGATGTTTGCAGTTGGACTTGCTGAGAATGTGTGCTATCTTTATTAGTAATTTATCATGTGATAAATCCATGGTGTGACATCATTTAATTGAAAAATTGGGGTTGGACTTATGAAGGACACTGTTTTAAGCAAACATAAAAATTTGCAAAAGGTTTGTAAAGTTTTCTTGTCATCTAGCATGGGCTTGTTATTAGAGAAATCCACTATGTGCTGTACTTTATTAGTCCAAGCCCGACAGTCAATTATGTCTGTCTGTCAAAGTTTTGAATCTTGAATTCCAAAATCATTTAAGATGTCCCAATAAAACTTAATACATATAGTAAAATAGCAGCCCAGAGGAGCCATTTGCTATTCAGTTATTCAATTTCAATTTTTTATGCCTTGTTGTCCTTTTGTCTGCTCATCAGTCTGTCCATTATATACACCCTCATTTCAGGGTTAAAACTCCAACAGCATTTAGGATATATCCTTAAAATTTGGTGTACTTATTAGGTTGCTAGTGTGGAGGTGTCTTGTGCTATTCAGAATTCTTCAGTTTCAATATTTTTCATGTTTTCAAACTATTTATTTGTTCTTCCATCCATCGTTCACACTTTTGTTCCCAGAGTAAAACTCTAAAACAGACTGAAACTTGGTACACATATTAGACTTATGGTTCATATGTGCATTGGTACACAGATTAATGGGCCATATGTGCATTGGTACACATATCAGACAAATGGGCCATATGTGCATTGGTACACATGTCAGACTAATGGGCCATATAAGTATATTATACTAGTGGTCCAGATGTGCATTGGTATATGTACATTAGACTAGTGGTCCAATTTTTCCTTTGTACAGTTAGACTAGTGGTTCTGATAGGCCTTGATGCACATATTAATCTAGTGGTCCAAATGTACCTTTGTAGCTTAGACAGGTGGTCAAGATATGCCTTTGGTCCATATATTAGACTATTGGTCCAGATGTACCTTTGTATCTTAGGTGGTCAAGATGTGCCTTTGGTACACATTGAACTAGTGGTCCAGATGTACCTTTGTAGCTTAGACAGGTGGTCAAGATGTGCCTTTGGTACACATATTAAACTAGTGGTCCAGATGTACCTTTGTATCTTAGACAGGTGGTCAAGATGTGCCTTTGGTACACATATTAGACTAGTGGTCCAGATGTACCTGGGGATACATGTACGTTTGGCCATTTACAATTCTTCAGCTTTGTAATTATTCTTGAGTTCCATCATTTACCTCATGAAAATCACAAAAGATGTCATACCATTATGCAAAAGACCCAAATGTATTTCAGTCATTTCATAACATTATTCCAATTTACTCAGATAAAATCTATTTTTCATATGATAAACAGAATCTCACATTTGTGCTCTTTTCAAATGAAATGTATGAAACTCCTCAAAGAATTTAAATCTTTAGATCAAATTTAAATTATACCACAACAGCAATGTCATTTGATCCCATTCAAACTATATTACAAAAACAGTCATTAAATCCCAACTATACCATCACAATACAGCACTGTTATTAGATCCCAATGAACTTATAACATCACAATACTGTCATTAAGATCCCATTCAAACTACTATAACAACAGTCAGATCCCAGTCAAATTATACTACAACAATTCAAACTATAACATCATAATACTGTCATTACAATCCCATTCAAACTACTATAACAAAACTGTCATTAGATCCCAGTCAAACTATACTACAACAACAATTCAAACTATAACATCACAATACTGTCATTAGATCCTATTCAAACTACTATAACAACACTGTCAGATCCCAGTCAAACTATACTACAACAACAATTCAAACTATAACATCACAATACTGTCATTACAATCCCATTCAAAACTACTATAACAACACTAAAATTAGATCCCAGTTAAACTATACTACAACAAGTCAAACTATAACATCACAATACTGTCATTAGATCCCATTCAAACTACTATAACAACACTGTCAGATCCCAGTCAAACTATACTACAACAACAATTCAAACTATAACATCACAATACTGTCATTAGATTTTTTTTCAGAATATAATTAATCAACAGTCATTAGATCCAATTCAAACAATATTACAATACCTCATTAGATCCCATTCAAACTTCTATACCACAACATGAAATCCCATTCAAACTATACCACAAAACCACTATCATTAGATCCCATTCAAACTATACTATAACAACACTGTCATTAGTTCCTATTCAAACTATAATACAACAATATTCTCATTAGATCTCATTCAAACTATACTACAACAACAGTCATTAGATCCCATTCAAACTTCTATACCACAACAACACCATTATGAAATCCCATTCAAACTATACCACAAAACCACTATCATTAGATCCCATTCAAACTATACTATAACAACACTGTCATTAGTTCCTATTCAAACTATACCACAACAATATTGTCATTAGATCCCATTCAAACTATAATACAACACTGTCATTGGATCCCATTCAAAATATAAAACAATACTGTTAATAGATTCCATTCAAACTAAACCAGAATATTGTCATTAAATCCCTTTCAAACTATGCCACCACAACAGTCATTAGATCCCATTCAAACTATACTACCACAACACTGTCATTAGATCCCATTCAAACTATACTACCACAACACTGTCATTAGATCCCATTCAAACTATACTACCACAACACTGTCATTAGATCCCATTCAAACTATACCACAACACTGTCATTAGATCCCATTCAAACTATACTACCACAACACTGTCATTAGATCCCATTCAAACTATACTACCACAACACTGTCATTAGATCCCATTCAAACTATACAACAACACTGTCATTAGATCCCATTCAAACTATACTACCACAACACTGTCATTAGATCCCATTCAAACTATACTACAACAACACTGTCATTAGATCCCATTCAAACTATACTACAACAACATTGTCATTAGATTCCATTCAAACTATCACCACAACACTATCATTAGATCCCATTCAAACTATACTACAACAACACTGTCATTAGATCCCATTCAAACCTTACAACACTATCATTAGATCCAGTTCAAACTATATCATCACCATACAGCAGTCATTTGATCCAGTTTAAACTATATCACCACAATAATGTCATTAGATCTCATTTAAACTTCACAACAACATCATTCTAACTATACTACTGCATCACTGTCCTTAGATCCCATTCAAACTTTACTACGTCATTAGATCTAATTCAAACTACATGTATATCATAACAACACAGCACTGTCATTACATCAGTTTAAACTATATCACCACAATTCAGCACTCTCATTAAATCCAGTTCAAACTATACCACCACAACACTTTCATTAGATTCCATTTAAACTATTCCACAACAATGCTGTTATTAGATCTTATTCAGTCTATATAACGTCATTAGATTCAATTCAAACTATACGATCACAATAAAGCACTGTCATTAGATTCAATTCAAACTATACCATCACAATAAAGCACTGTCATTATGTTCAGTTCAAACTATACCATCACAATAAAGTACTGTCATTAGGTTCAGTTCAAACTATACCATCACAATAAAGCACTGTCATTAGGTTCAGTTCAAACTATACCACACAACACTGTCATTAAATGCCATTCAAACTATATCACACAACACTGTCATTAGATTCCATTTAAACTATAACTCACAACACTGTCATTAGATGCCATTCAAACTATACCACACAACACTGTCATTAGATGCCATTCAAACTATACCACACAACACTGTCATTAGATGCCATTTAAACTATACCACACAAAACTGTCATTAGATGCCATTCAAACTTTATCACAACAACACTGTCATTAGATGCCATTCAAACTTTATCACAACAACACTGTCATTATACCCCATTCAAACAATGCATCAACACTGTCATTAGATCCATTCAAACTTTACCACACAACACTGTCATTAGATGCCATTCAAACTATACCACACAACACTGTCATTAGATGCCATTCAAACTATACCACACAACACTGTCATTATATCCCATTCAAACAATGCATCATTATTGTCATTAGATCCATTCAAACTATACCAC